ATGAACTACTACTCATCCTGGACAAAACTAAAACGCACGGTGGTATGGTTTCTGAAGTTTAAAGATTTGCTTAAGGAACTGAAAGCAAAGAGAAAGGAACTAAACTCACAAGGAAAAAACTGAATTAATCAGTTCAAGAAAGTTTTCAAAGCAACACACCTAACCTGTGAAGGTTTGACTGAAGCAGAAAGAGAAATTGTGAAATACTGTCAAAAACAAAGCTTCAAAGAAGACTTGACTATGCTAAAGGAACATCAAACGGTAAAGAAAAGTAGTTCGCTCTACAAGATGAACCCTGTACTTCAAAACTGAGTCATCAGAGTTGGTGGAAGGATGAGCCGCGCAGCAATGCCAGAGGATTCCAAACAGCAAGTCATCTTGCCAAAGGATTCACACATCACGATGCTTGTGCTGAAGCACATTCACGATGTTACAGCTCATGCCGGGAGAAATCATATGTTGGCAAAACTGTGTCAAAGATTCTGGGTCCCTGGAGCAAACGGCGCTATTAGAAAGTTCTTGTCCAGGTGCATCAGCTGTAAGAAACTACACGGAACTGCAACGGTAAGCAACTCATGGCTGATCTACCAAGATGCAGGGTCTTGCCTGACACTCCTCCATTCACAAGAGTCGGTGTTGACTACTTTGGTCCATTTCTGGTGAAAAGAGGAAGAGCGCAAGTAAAGAGATATGGTGTCATCTTTACATGTCTTGCCATACGAGCTGTACATCTAGAAGTCGCATCTTCGCTTGACTCTGATGCATGCCTTAATGCAATTAGAAGATTTCTTGCAAGAAGAGGACAAGTCAAAGAGATGTACTCGGATAATGGAACCAATTTTAGGTCGGCTGGCAGTGAGTTGAAAAGATCCATAAAAGAATGGAACACCAGCAAGATAGCAAAGAATTTGCAAGAGAAGGGAGTCCAGTGGCACTTTAATCCGCCAGCAGGTTCTCACCATGGAGGATGCTGGGAGCGGCTGATTCGTTCGGTGAGGAAAATTCTGAACATTACAGTGAAGGAACAACTTTTGGATGAAGAAGGTCTCCATACCTTGCTGTGTGAAGCTGAGGCCATCATAAACAGCAGGCCAATTACCCAGGCATCTTCAGATCTTAATGATTTAGAGGCCTTAACGCCCAACCACCCGTTGTTACTCAAGGTCAAGCCTGAGTTACCCCCAGGAGTGTTTAGCAAGGATGACCAGTATGCTAACCGCAGATGGAGACAAGTTCAGTACCTTGCGGATGTCTTCTGGAAACGCTGGTGTAAAGAATATCTTATGCAGCTCCAAGAACGTCAACGATGGTTCACACCTGGAAGAAACTTCAGTGTTGGTGATGTAGTGCTGATTGTGGATGATACATCGCCCAGAAATTCGTGGCCACTTGGAAGAATTGTGGAGATTTTTCCTGACAAGAAAGGTTTCGTTCCTCAGGTGACAGTCAAGACTAAGAGCAACGAGCTTTGTCGCCCGATAACAAAACTATGTCTTCTTCAAGGATCTGAGGACAATGTATAAGCTGTTCCAAAGGAAAGACCCTATTTCGGATAGGGCGAAGACCAAGAATATTTCTTTAGATAGTTTGTTAATTAGCATATAGGCTCCTTTAATTTAAGTTTTGATAATTGTTTCAAGGACATTGATAACAATTAGGGGCCGGTAATGTAGGAGCCTAAATACAGTTAATTGATAAATAATTTAATTTATGCGTTAAACAGTAATTTGCATGATTCATTTTATGTGGAGAAAATTGAAGTGAATATTTACAGTATTTACAGTTTGATGCAGTTAATATTTACAGTAATGCAAGGAGTTAATTGTGTAATTATCTAAAATGTGTGTGGATAATTTAAAGTGTATTTATATTACATGATATTTTGGGAACAGAGGATTATTATAGCATTTTTTATCTTTAACTGCATGAACCTTTAAGTGCTGGGAATACTCTCGCGAGAGTTAGTGAGGAGAGTTAGTGAAGTTATCTGTGTGAACAGTCAGGCAAGCAGAATGGAGCCACACAGTTTTTTGACCTTTACCTTTCTTTCTCTTTAATTAATCATTTTTATTTTTTGTAATTTTCCTTTGCTGATGTTTTGTTGATAACCAAGTAAACGGATATATTTTTCATGAGTTGTCCTGTGGATTTATTGAAGTGGATGTGGACGAAGGGAGTGGATAAAGCGTCAAGCTTCATTCAGTGGAAACCTACAATCATATAATGATAAAAATCTATCCAGTGTTTTTGTTTTAATCTCCTTATATGTTTTTCCCTGTCTCAAATCGAGCCGTTCGACCGTGTGACGTCACACGGTCGGACGCCCCTCCCACGATTGTTGATTGACAGCAGCGTTTCAACACATCCCCGCCCTGAGCGAGCTGTCATCATAGTCCGCTATTGTTGATACACTGGAGCAGAATGGCGTCTAAGCGATTGTGGTGTTCTGTTCTTTTGGTGTAATAACGAACACAGCAGTCATTTTGATGTTCCTAAATCCGAACCGCTGAAGACACAGTGGCTGAGTTTTGTTTTCGAAGGAAATATTCCCCACGAGCAACGTCAATGCTTTCATGTTTGCGCGATTCACGAATCATTTCTCAGCACACTGCTTTATAAACGAGAGTCAGTATAAAGCTGGTTTTGCTAAGAAGCTGCTCCTGAAAAAATAATCGGTACCAACTATTCATGTCCCTGCTGCACCTCCAGACGAAGTGAGTGTAAAATTGTATTAATCTTTATTTTAATCTTTGGAAATCGCTTGCACGCTTCACGATGAATGCGGCTAAGGTTTACACTCAGGGTACATTACGGCATGTTTTCTATGTACGACGTTCTCAATATAATTCATAATCCCACGTTTATAATGAACAACGCGTTATGGTGTTATTACAAACTGAGTACGCATACATCAGTAAACACATAGCGTTCGTACATCTCACTAAAAGTTACTCTAACGTTACTCTGCCAGTAAATATACAAAGATAGATCAAAGTGACATTCCGTTAACCAACCATTCAGAAACGTCCTGTTCGAGCCTTAATTGTCGAACTTCTTTGCGGCTGTCATCTTGTTCCGGGTCCGACTCCGGTTTAAACTGATACGATTGCACAGATATGTCCTCAGAGACTCCCGCTGCCATTCTTTCTCCAAAATATACCCTCAACTGTTGTCAAGGCAACACTCCACGTGCGTTGTGTCTAAACGCCCGCAGAACAGAGGGGCGGAGTGAGCGAAGCTCATTATCATTTAGAGGCATATGCACTGAAACGGCGTGCTGAAAACAGAGCTGTTTTTTACCAGGTAAAATGAGTGTTTTCTTACAATACTAATGAGAATTTTTAATTAAAGTATATTACAAACTTTTAATTTAGACCCTAAAGAATCAAATTAACTTGTATGAAAATGGCATTATATGACCCCTTTAAAAGCGCTATATAAATGAAGATGACTTGACATGGGTCAGGCCATATACTCGAAAGCCCAAGAGATTCGTTGGACAAACAAAACATTTCAGGAACGACTGGGGGAATTTCACACAGCCATGGCGTACCTGGCCTGTATTGGGAAGCGATCTGGAGATGCAGGATTTCAGGATGTCATGATAGAAGCTGAAGTTGTTGCTGCAGGATCTGTGGAGGGAGTCATATCTGGACATCAATACAATCGAAGCATGCGTGCACACATGTTAATGTGTGAAGCCCTACAGAGACTTCGCTGGCAGGCATACCTGGACGTTCTTCCGGAAGATGGACGTGAAGCTGCTGTCAAGACTGCTGTTGATCTGCAGACAGCTTTCCCTGGTGAAGAATTTGATGATAGGGTAATGTCTGAGAACTTTCAAAAGGTAATGAAAGGGTATGAAGATTTCATTAAAGACAACACCACCAACAAGACATTCCACTTTTGGTGCACATACATTGCAATGGTTGAAGATATTCTCCTCTTCATCAGAGGAACACGAGAGGCAAACTGGAGTCTCCACCTATCAAGTGTGCGTTACATTATGCCATGGTTCTTCTGTTATGACAGGATCAACTATGCCTGCTACCTGTCAACGTACTGGATGGAAATGGTCAGTTTAGGGTACACTCATCCAAACATAAACCGCCAGCTCCAATCAGGGGATTTTGTCGCCCAAAGACAGCAAACATATGGCTTTGCTTACACAGCATGTTATCAAGTCATCGAACAAACAGCAAACCGTGACTCCAAAACTAAAGGTGGACTGACTGGGTTTTCACTTAACAAAGGTGCGGTTCATAGATGGACACTCACACATCATGAACGTGCAGCTATCAGTATGGAGTGCAAAGACATGGCCGGGCACAGCCCCACAACAAAACAACGAGCTGAACTTGATGACACGCGCAGAGAATGTGATGAGAGGGATGTAAAGAACATCATATCCACCATTCAGAACATGACAAATCCATTTGATCCTTCCATCGATCAAGAGGTCCTTTACAATAGAAAACCCCGGATACAACTGATTTGGAAGCCTTGCCAATGTCAGCGCTGTTCACGACACAGGAAGAAGCGGACACCAGACTACTGCTACACTGTGCTCATGCTGCTGATTACAGCTGGCCTATTATTATCAGAAGTCCTGACACTAATGTGTTTGTATTGGCCCTCGCTTTCTACAAAGACATCGGAGCTCACCTGTATTTTCAGACAGGGAAAGGAGGAACTTCTCGCACAGTCGAAGTCCAGAAGATCCATGACCAGCTGGGAGCGATAGTCTGCGATGCGCTCATTGGCCTTCACTGTTTCACTGGTTGACACTGTCAGCTCCCTGTATGGGATAGGAAAGGTGAAGGCAATGAAGGCACTCCTATCCATTCAAGAGCACTGCAACACATTCCAGAGAATAGGCAGAACTTTCACTGTGACCCCAGACCTCTATGAGGTAGTGGAGGCCTTCACATGCGAGCTATATCACGTAAAAGATGTCAAAAGTGTCAACCAGGCAAGGTGGCACGTTTAAGTCTGGGAAATGTCTCGAAATGAGCCTTCCTCCGAATTAAGACTCCCTTCAGCAGCACATTCAGCGTGCCAACTACCAGGCCGCAATACACAAGTACATGGCCAAGAAACAGAAAAAAAGAGAATGGTTTACAGCTAATATGTCACTCTAAAGATAATAAACAAAATCAGAAACATAATTCTGATTCAGTAGGTTAATAGGCCAAAGTAATCTTTTCATTTTTTTCATTCTACAGGTGAAGTCTGCAAAAACAACAACCTGACATACCCCCACCGGTACAGCATGGATAGAGGATGGACGGAGAATACCTGGTAGTGCACTGGATGACACTGCCCCCAGCACCACAGAGTGTCTTAGAGCTGGTGCACTGCCAATGCAAAACCCTTAAATGTGTGGGAGGGAACTGCACTTGCAAAAAGCATTAGCTACCATGCACAGAATTGTGTTATTGTAAAAACTGTGACAATCTACCATAATTGGCTTAAATAACTCCATGACTACCACTATAAAATTGATTTGAAATAATTTCTTTGTTTTGGTTTGCACTCTTTTTAGCTGATAATTAGTCTAGCTTATTATAGCCTAGGTAGCTTGCTGTAACCAACCTGCACATACCTGTCAACCCTCCCGTTTCCCCCGTGATTCTCCCTTATTTAGACTTATTTCCCACTGTCTTCCCGTTTAAATATTTTCCCATAATTATCCCATATTTTAATACTCTTTGCTTAGTTCATTGTGCATGCACCGAATGATTATTTTAGATTAGCCTAAGCAACGTAATGTTAGACCTAGCTTTACTGCTCCACTACCAACATTCTTTCATGGCTACTGTTCTCATCAACGACAACCCGAACTTCAAGGCGAAGTATAGCTTACAGTCTTAAATACAACTTATATGAAAAGTATTAAGATATAGGGGTGTATAATCATTGGAAAACAAATCTTACCTTGACGTTGTCTTGCCGAGATACACCGGTCTCTCCAGGTTGGGTTGTAGACTCATGGCTTCAGAATGACACCGGTTCAACGAGTAACGTGATTGGCCAAATCAATTTAACAAGGTAACAACACAAGCTTTGATTGGATCTCACTCCGGCCAACGTTTGTGATCAGCTAGTGAAATTAAATCTATTTTTATACTTTATTGTGCAACAATTGGCATAGGAAACAATCTGTAATCTTTTTGTGAATTATTCATACAGCCAAATTTAAAAAATGAGCCAGAGAGCTGCTGGTTAACTATTAAATAAAAAACTTTACGTTCATTATTATTATTATGTTATGAGCTTTGAGACATGAGGTGAATTAACGTAGTCTCTTTTGACACTATTAATCTCTGCTGTTCATGTCTTTTGGAGGAGGCGTGGCTTTGGAGAGCGCCCTGAAGGGAGGGTGGGATCTTATGCTTCTCCAAAATTGCCTACACTACCTTTAAGATTACAGAATTGATATTTGACTAATGTTTTATAATCAAAAATGTTACAGTGACAGTAATTTTTTAATTTGTGTCAGGAGTGCACATCAATGATGCTGAAACAAACTAGTATTTACCAGTACGCATAACAATAGAACACATACTGTAGGACCTATTCATTTGTGCCTGCTTCCATTTATTTGTGATCACAGGAATGCACAAAACAACTCCATCAAGGCTTTTTAATTGATAAAATATCATGTTTACGTCACATTTCTTTAGAAAGAGTGAGCTATTTCTTTACATTTTCTACAAAATTATGCAAATCTGAGGAGGTTTTAGACCTGAGGAGGTCTCTCCCGTCTCACTATATGACGTTTTATTAACAAAATTTGGGATGAGCATGTTCAAATGATCTACCCAATCAGTACAATTGGAGGCCTATATATAGCCAACTCACCTTCATTCCTTGACAGTCTTTTCTGAATCCGTATGTCACCCCGACTCCTCGCTCGTGGCTCTGGGTTCAGGCCACAGTTCGAGCTTGTTGCTCTCCCCCAGACAGCACACCCAATACGCATACTCTTTTACTCTATCTAATTATTTGTAAGTGTGAACTCGTGAAACTGTTATCCTTTCAGCCAGAGCAACAAAAGAGGGAGATCACGGACAGAAAACAGGAGTTGTATGAGTTAACCGGTGTATATGTCATTTATGACATATGCAGATGCACAGGGAAGGCACAGGGAAGAGACAGATGAAACATGAAATAAAAACACGATTATAATCATATGTGATTTGTCTTCACATAGATTTGTCAAGTTCTTCAAGCAGTTTCTGGTATTTTCCATTAACATATATGTATTTCACGAGTTCACACTTACATACAATTAGACTGGATTAGGTTTAATGCGTATTTGGCGTGCTGTCCGGGGGGAGGGCTCCGAGCTCGGAGTTTGGCCCGAACCCAGAGTACTCCCCCCTATGTAAGTGTTTAGGACCAGCAGCCATATCACCCTGTAGCCCAAGACTGGTTGCCCACTGAAGCCAAGCAGGGCTGAGCCTGGTTAGTACCTGGATGGGAGACCTCCTGAGAAAACCAGGTTGCTGCTGGAAGAGGTATTAGAGAGACCAGTAGGGGGTGCTCACCCTGTGGTCTGTGTGGGTCCTAACGCCCCAGTGTAGTGACGGGGACATTATACTGTCAAAGAGCACCGTCCTTCGGATGAGACGTTAAATCGAGGTCTTGACTCTCTGTGGTCATTAAAAATCCCAAGATGTCTTTCGAAAGAGTAGGGGTGTAACCCCGGCATCCTGGCCAAATTTGCCCCTTGGCCTCTGTCCATCATGGCCTCCTAATCATCCCTATATATACTAATTGGCTTCATCACTCTGTCTCCTCTCCACCAATAAGCTGGTGTGTGGTGGGCGTTCTGGTGCAATATGGCTGCCGTCGCATCATCCAGGTGGATGCTGCACATTGGTGCTGGTTGAGGAGATTCCTCCCTTCCATATGTGAAGCGCTTTGAGGTCCCAGAAAAAGTGCTATATAAATGTAACGAATTATTATTATTAGAAGTGTGGAGAAGGGGCAGTGGAGGGATGCTGCTAAACTATCAATGGAGTGAGGTGAGATTGCTGAATCTATATATACCTCTCATCATTGATTGCTGGGTGCACTCCACTCGTGTTAATTAACTGAACGTGCTCCTCCCGAACTTTGTTAATAAAATATAATTTATCACTATGGTTAGCATAAGAAGCCTTTAGTAGTATTTCAGCAGTGGTGTTGACCCTCTCCTGACTCAGATAAACTCTGCCTTTGTTCATGACCACTCCTCAAGCCCTAGTTGGCCCGCTTTCGACCAAAGTATTCGGCGGGCCAAAAACCCCTGGCCTTTGTCTTTTTGTCCGATTTTCAAATACTTTTTTGCTTCAAATTAAGGTTTGTAATGTTGCCATTCAACAACCTTGTTGCTGGTTAGTTTGGTTCATGGCTTACAACTCTCAGGACTTCTCTAAAAATCTCTATGGGAAAAATACTTCCGGAAAGCAAGGCCGTTTGTTTGTTTTAAAACTTTTTTTTTTTTCACAGCTATAAAAGTGTGGTGACACCAAAGCGTGCAGGCACTGCTGTGGTGGTGTGCTGGATGGTGGCCATCGTAGTCGGCCTGACGCCCATGTTGGGATGGAACAATCTGGAGAAGCTACAACAGACCAACGGCACTGTAGGAGCTGACCTTCTCGTAACCTGTGAGTTTGAGAATGTCATCAGTATGGAGTACATGGTCTATTTCAACTTCTTCGGCTGGGTGCTGCCACCTCTCGTCCTCATGTTGCTTATCTACACTGAGATCTTCTACATAATCCACAAGCAGCTAAACAAGAAGGTCACTGCCAACCAGACCGACCCCACTCGATATTACGGGAAAGAACTCAAGCTGGCAAAATCTCTTGCACTGGTGCTCTTCTTGTTCGCTGTTAGCTGGTTGCCATTGCATATCCTGAATTGCATCACTCTCTTCTGTCCTAGTTGTGACAATTCCATGTGCCTTCTCTATGTGGCTATCTTGCTCAGTCATGGTAACTCCGCTGTTAATCCCATTGTTTACGCATTCCGCATTACAAAATTCCGGAATGCCTTCATTAAGATCTGGAAACAGTATGTATGCTGCACGGAGGATCCACGGGTGGATGATCGGCCCAGCTTTCGTATAGATAGCAAAGAGAGAAGACTGCGACACAATGATATCTGATGCTATGCTCAACAGGTCTCCTCTATTTGAATCACTTTTTAAAACATGACAGTTGATGATGAGTTTTGAAGGGAAATGCAGTATGGGATGTATGCTGTGAGTTGTGAGAATACATCTGCCACAAAAATGACAATCAGACATTACTGGAAATTGTTTCCTTGAAAGCCAAGTCACTGGTGCATAGAATTAATTGCATCATTAGTGAGTAATCATTAAATAGATGAAAATGGTCTGTTTTAGAGATATAGCCACACAGTATAACTGACATTCAAATCTGTGGGAATCTTTATTTGATTATGATTTCCTTTTGTGCTGGGGTTCATTTTAATGTGGCTATAACATAAAGGGCTTTATATAATAAGCGCAAAATTGCAAACTAAGTGTCAATGTATACAAGTACAATTAACTATATATGATGTTTCACTAAACAAAGTTCGGGAGGAGCACGTTCAAATAATCAATCCAATTAACTTGTCAAACAATCATCATGACTATCCCATCAGCATGAGAGGAAGCATATATAAAGGCACTCAGTCGACTCACCTACATTCTTTGACAGTTTTTCAGCATCCCTCCACCACCCCGACACCTCACTCTCAGCTTGTTCCTTCCACAGCCAGGAATACGGGGGGAGTACTCTGGGTTCAGGCCAAATACTGAGCCCGGAGCCCTCTCCTCAAACAGCACGCCAAATATGCATACCATTTATTCTATCTGAGTTATTTGTATGTGTGAACTCGTGAAATCAGTATAACAGCATCTGAAGACCTTGAGGAAGGATGATGAGAATGTGATCTGATGCCATTTTATATGCCAGAGAATTCATATGTTGAAAAGAATGGTATACGGTAGAGTCATTTATCATTTGCTGCTTTTCAAGGTGAGCGCAAGTTGTAGCCAGCTAAGCCCACTTTTTCTCAAAGGTATAATTTCTTTTTTTCTTTTTTTTTTTACATTTTTATTGAAGGAAGAACAGAGTGATGTATCATATACAGAAAAAGTTAACAATGCTCCTTGTTTAACAATTTTCCCCCTTTCCCACAACCCACCGAACAGAGAAAAAAATATATAAACAGTAATAATAATAAAATATATAAACAATACATAAACAACACATAAAAAAAAATATATATAAAAAAAAAAAAAAAAAAAAAAAAAAAACTGGTCAAACAGAATCTCGAAGTTGTTTAATTACAAACAGTGAGAAAATAATTGACATCATTGTTAGCCCATTGTGTCAAGTTGCGTTATCCGTTCCACTGTGCACGGGCCTTTTAATAACAATATTAGTTTTAGTTTTGGGGAAGAGTTGCGTCCTTTTCAAAATATGAAATCATCGGGGTCCATACTGAA